AATAAAGAAATCTTCGACCCATTTAATCTGTATCTTATATACATACACACATAATGTAATTTATAAGAAATTTTTACTCGATTATTACCATGGCATATTCAAGTACTTTATTTATATACGTAGGTCTTGCCTAATTTTAATATCTTATTTTAATTATTTATCATTTTATGCTCTAACGTAATTACATTTAACTTAATATACTAAAATTATGTTAAATTATGCTCTAATTAGCTACTAGATTTTAATTTAAAATTCATCTTAAAAAAAAATAATGAAAATAAAAAAATGTAATAAAAAATGTTATTTTTTTTAAATTAAAGTAGCAACAAGTTAAAACATGTTTATTTACATATTAATCTACATCATCATTTAAAATATATAGGTATATAAAACAAAAAAAAATTATTTTTTAAAAAATGTTTGGAATTTCTTCATTTTCATTCTTCTTAAAATTTTGTACATAACTCATTTTTTATTTCAATTCACTTGCCACACATATTGAAACAGAAACACAGGAAAAAAACATAAAAAAATTGAGGGAAGAAAGAAGAAAATTTAAAAAAAAAAAATTTACTCTAATTTTTTTTGGTTCTAAAATTAGAAAAGAATCATCATTTTATTATATGTATACATACAAACATACATAAATACATACAAAATATTTTTTATTTCTCTTTTAAATATTTTGTAAATTTTTGTATTAAAAAATTTGTTAAAAAATTTATTTTTAGTTTATAATAAATGCCTGTTAATAATGGAAGTCGACTTAATTTTGCAAATCATAGCTTTGCATATATTAGAATTAATAAGGAATCAACTTAAATATAAATTTTGTTCAATGACTAGGGCGTCAGATCTGATTTCTCATAAAAGAGTAGGGTTCGAAGTCGAAAATGTAAAAAATTTTATTAATTAGATCAAACACACGGTCATATGGTGGAAATATGACTTAGTTTTGGAAATGAATTTGTAATATTAGAAAAATTTCTTTCAGGATCGGAGTAAGAACGCCCAAATAATCGACATTACAGCCTCGTTATTTTTATTGTTCTTAACTATTTTAAAAATTTATTGTTAAAAATATATTTTCTATTTTTATATAGAATACGTTTCTTAATTCATGAAGAGAAATTTTAAATTATACTAGTATAATGCTTCTGTAATTAACATAAAAAAATTTGATTTCCGTTAAGGTCGCCTATATTCCGCTTCACTAACAGAATATTGAAATTTTAAATTTGAATAACTTCCATTTAAAATATCGATATCAAAAAAACAAATACCCCATTGTGAGATGACCATTTTGTTTATTAAAAAGAAAAAAAAATTAACAAAAATTCTTAAATAATCAAAAGAAGAACAACAAAAGAAAAAAAACTGCAAAAAAAAACGAAAGGAATTTCCATTCTTAATTATTGTGGTTGTATCAAAAAAAAAAAACATCAAGAGCTAGTAAATAAAAATTCATTTGATTGTATCTATATATTTTCTAATTAAATATGTTTATAAGATTATAAACATATAAACATTAAATATTACGTCTTATACAATCTATAAGTATACCTGCACTTGTTAATATACTGTTATACTTCTATACATTTATAATATGTATCTACATTAATCCGGAATTATTTGAATTATAAAGATGTTAAAATTCTTAACACTTTATGTTAATTAAGTAATATGTGTGCGTGTTTAATAATATTTAAAATATTTTTTAGTACAAACATCATTTTTATATAAATAGTATTTTTATTATATAAACCCAATATAAAAATTTTCAATACAGAAATTTATTTTAATTAATGAAAAATTCTTAATTAATAACTTATACATTAAATAAGAAAATAATTATTAAAAGCGAAATAGATATATTTTTTATAAAGTTCGAAACAAGGCCGATATATTTATTCTATAATGTATTGCTTTCTCTTTCTAGTAACACTATTATAAATGGCATGTGAAAGTTTTCGTAACTCTAATACTAGTTTTGGTATGAGAGTTATATAATGGGAGATTAACTCTCATTACAAGAATTAATAACTCTAGTATTTTCGCTCTTTTGTTCTTATAAAGATCTCATTAGGGTCTTTTAATGTTCTACAAGACTGAAATTATAAGAGTAATATTCTTAAAGAATTCTTAATATAGTTCTACAAAAGTCTTATAAGATTAAAATTGTTATTTGGGCGTTTATTATAAGCCAAAAGTTCTAGTAAACTCGAGATATCTGTTTCATCAGCGTTTTTTTCTATGGCTAATATTAAAAATTCAAAAACAAATTCATTTTGAATTTAATTATTAAGTTTTTGTTTATTATGAGAGTGAACGTAAATTACATTTGTAAACTATGAGCTTCTTAAAGAATTTCTTAAAATTTTTATTATATTTGGCATTATACTCAAAAATTTTGAAAATCAAGATTTCTTAACTTTTCTAATGTAAATATGATTTCATTTTTAAATCGAAGTTCTTTAATCGATCTTCAAAACCATTCCTTTTAATGTTGTGAGATAAATTAGAACGAGTTGGCACAGATTTTTGAAGGATTTACTTAAAGCAAGTAGATTCATTTTGGCATCACTGATTTTCAATATCTAAATCAATCCGAAAAACCTGTTCAAGCCTCTTTATCTCATTCACCCACCTAATTTTCGATATTTAATTAATTTTTATTTTAGAATTATGATATAATAATTAATGTAGTAATAAACTTGTTAATTCATTAACAATTCGAAATAGAATAAATTTTCGAATATATAAGATTCATTTATCTTTAATAATATCTTTCAAAAATAATCTACGATAATAGAATTCAAATGTGTTTATATATTATATCGTATATTAAAATTTATTTTGTGGTATTCTAAAATTAGAATTATTCTACATATAATAATTTCAGTATAAATTTATCATTTATAATATTTAAAATAATAATTTATTTATATATATATGTATTTTAAAAATTAGATTTATAAATTCAGTAAATATAATTTTCTTTTAGAAAAATCCCAATAAAAATAATTTATTTGTTAATATTGAAAAAACAACAACAACAATATTATTTTGCAATATCTTCAGAAATTACAAAATTTTATTTAAAATTATTCAACATTCCGCTCGTACATATACATATATATATATAAATTTCGATATAAAATACGATATAAAATATAAATGTTTAAATGTACAATATTTTAAAATTTATAATATTGGTACTTGGCTATATGAACAGTAAACCGGTAATAATAGTAATGTAAAAGGATGAGATTTTTGTTTTTCTTTTTTTTTTGGTATTATTTTGTTTCATTTTAAATTTGCATTAACAAAAATATTATAATGCAGGAAAAATAAATGAAAAATAACAAATACATATACATATACAATATTATACATAAAATAACAATGAAAAAAGAGTAACATAACAAAACTTAACATCCTGGAAAATAAAATTTTTCCTCTCTTATCCTTTATTGTTTTGTCTTTGTTGTTGTTGTTTCTTTTGGCTCTATCTCTGTATTTTATAACGTTGACTGCTCTTTTATTATTGTGTTTTTTTGGTTTTCCTTTTTGTTTTCAAATTGAAATATTAATAAAGTCGCCATAAAGTCCAAATTTGCATTACAATCCAATAAATATTCATTGTGACCCAATTTAAAATGATAACTACTATATATATATATTGTATTTATATAAATGCACACAAGTATACATACATCATACTTGTAATATTTACTTTAGAAAGATGTAGCCTCATTCTTTATTCTGGTTGTTCTTTTAATTTTTTTTTGTTTTATTTTCATTCTTGTTGTAAATTTACATAGAAAAACATGAATTACAATTACATACATATTATATACATACAATATTTTATATATACACGAAAGTTTGTTTATTATTGAATCATATGTATATGTACTTATGTATGTATATTAAACACATACAAAATATAGATAATACTTAAAATTTGGAAAACAATTTTCATGTACCTTCGATTTAATGCATTATACAATTCAGTTAAAGAATTATTTACGTTTGTTTGTATATTTTCAATATTAAATTGAAAAATCCTGTACAATTGTGTATTTTGCAAAAATTTAACACATACTTGCATTGTCGTCTGTTTCTCAACCTAAATGCTGCAACACTTTGGAGGTAATGTGAGGGTTTGGAAATGGTCACACCAAAATATTTGTGATAAATAATTTTTGTGTATAGGAACATATAAGAGAGTTAAGCACCATGGTAGAATTATTAAAATAAATATTTATAATTGCATAATGTTGGGGAAAGTACACACTTACATACGATATACAATATGCATTACATTACATATACGTTATCTGTATGATGTATGTAATAATTTTTATTAAATAGGTCTAATTTCTTTAATGATTAATGAGTATTTAAAAATATAAATCTGATTTTTTTTTTGTTTTTCCGGAAATTTCTCTTTTACATAATTTTAATTTTATATCTTAATTTTTTTATTTATTTACATACATTTGTACATACATACATATTTATGTAAATATTTAAAACTATAAAATTTATGTTTATATTAATTACTCGAAAAAGTTATTTTAAAATTTATAATATTCAAAGTACTTAAAACTATTTAAAACTTTCATTTCATATGAATTTATACCGATAGAAATTTACATACACATATGTAAGTGTGTGTATGACGGTATTTAAATTTTAAATATAAATTATGTTATTCGGAGAACAAACTTCTGCAACATCTATACAATTTCTATATTAATAATTTTAATACAAAAAATTATACCAAATCATTTAATTTTGGGAAATTGCAATTATTATGTGATGATTTATTATTTGGAATCATAATTAATTGTCACAGATTTCAACTGCTTCTCTCATGCCAACATTTGTTTATATAAATCAATTCTTTTAGAAGAATTTACTAACATTAAAAATATTAAAATTATAATTTTTAATAAATTTTTATTAATATTTATTTTTCTTTCTCATTTTAGGTAAGTCTGAACATGATCAGAATGGATCACCATACAGTAGTAAGTTCATTTTTAATCATACTTTGTGATAGTTGAAAATTATATGCATTTTTTTTTGTATAATTTAAAAATCTGAAAGTGCAAGAAAAATTTCATTTACCTTTTGTATGAAACCTATTGTCTCTTATCTTTAAAATTCATTTAAAATATTTTTGTGAGAAGCCCTTCATATGTGAAGTTAAAGCATTTTCCTTCATTAGCTATGGTGTATGAAATGGATATTGTCTTATTTTTCACCCTAAATACTGCTTTTGTAATTAAATTATTCGGAATTTCGAACCCAAACCCGATAATACATAATTCTAAAGTCACCTTTTATATTCAATGGATTTTCTAATTTTTAATACTCATTCATTCTCTGTCTAATACGAGGAAAAATGGGATAAAATTTTCTTAATAGATTAAAAATTTAAAATTTTAATTTTCCTTTCATTTTTCTCTCATCAAAAACACATACACTTTAAAAACAACACTCACTTTTATTTCCTGTTTTTATAGATTCAAAAGAAATTTTTCATTTAATTAAATTGTCTGGAATCTCATCAATACTTTAAATTATAATTAAATAATAAAAAAAAAAAAAAAAACAAATTTACTCACGCAAAATCTCATCTGCATATGTAGGAACAAAAATTGAAAATGTAAAACTCTAGACAAATTCTAAATTTTTTTTTTCTTCTTTTAAAATTAATAAAAATTTTAAACGTTTCTTAAGTACTACACTATAAGCTTATATAGAAGAGTTGTTTGATGGCATTTATTTACCTTTTATAAAACTAGAGCAGAAAATGAATAAGCAATTTGAAAAAAAATAAAATGTTAAAAGTTCTGCTCTAAAAGCAAGAAAAAAAAAACTTCAAAATTTATGAAAAAAAAAAACTAAAAGAGCAAAAAAGGAAAACAGAAAACTCTTTGTGTCTTAAAAACAACAAACAGCAAGACTTTCTTTGAACAAAACTTTGTATACATACGCACATACATTAAAGGTATTATACGTTATATGTTTATTTAATAAGCAAGCAGCAACTTAATCATTATTATACTTAAGTTCTAAGTTGAGTTTTTCGTATCGTTTCTTCCCTTTGACCGAAAAAAAAAATATTCATAAATTTTTATAAGCGACAACACATGAACTATAACTTCATTAAAATAAACGAAATTTATATATATATATACATATTCATACGTATATGTGAATATACATGCATGTGCGTGTGTATGTATTAAAACCTATAAATATAATAATAACGAATTAGAGAGAAAAAATATGGTATGAAAAAATTTTTATAAATTCAGTCATTTGAAAAATTTCTTTTCCACTTACTTAAGCATTTGAAAGTTCATAAAATTTATAAATTTAAAATTAAAAAAAAAAATAAGAAAACAAATTATCAATTCACTTTTATACAACTTTATTTTTTCAACATTATAAATATGTATATATGTATATTTTGTATATATACTCACACTATATATTCACTCATGTATACGAATATTTCTACTTAAATATTTGCATATTTTAACATAAAATACACCAAATTTCTAAAGAATAATTTTCATTATAAAATATTATTTTTAAATATTTTACGACATTTTATTATATATACACATATTTACATATTATATGTAAGTAATGTATTTAGGAAAATTTTCATATAAAATTTAAGCAATCCCTTTTATTTTAAATTTCTGAATATGTAAAAAACATTAATTAAACTTAAAACTCACTTAAAACTCATAAATTTTATATACAAAATTTTGGATTTAAAGAGCTCATTTCCTAAATTTTAATAATATATATATATGGTTATAAATTCAGGTATTAATATTTTTTCAAAAAAATTTAAGAGTCTCAAAATCATATCATTTTACGATAAAACAAAATATAATAAAAAAAAGGGTTATAATTATAAAGGATTAAACAAATAAATTTTGAAATTCGCCCTTTCTATATACCAAAAATTTTCTCTATATTTTGATTAATGTTACTATGCATTTTGAATTTTAAACTAAAAATAGCATAACCACATACTTATCCATATAAATAAATTAAATTTTAATGCAAAATGAAATAAAAACTCAAGGACAAACGTGACAAAAACGTTTAAAAAAATTAAAAATTAATTTATAATTCTAAAAGGGCAATTCAAAAGTGTCGTATATTAAATTAAATTTATATTTTGAATTACGTGGAAAAAGTGTGAAAGAATAGTGAGTATTCAGCGATAATATTTCATATGAATTGAAAAAAAAAATTAAGGAAATTTCAGGGAGCATAATCTTTTAATAAGTTATTCGGAAAATTTTAATTTAAAATTTTATATTCAACTAGACAAGGGTTAATTTTTGTTCTTCTCGCCTTACACTTGTAGATATGTTAAGTTTAAACACAGATTGTATATTTCTCTCTTCATATTCAATTTGTTAATCCAAGACATGACTAGCAGACTGTCTTATAACTACTACTGTCTTAAAACTAAGAACCTATCGTAACTTGTCTTAAAAACTGAAATATTTTATTGCTTAATTTTAGACCGGTAATAAAGGAAAACTGTAAACAAAAAAATTTTTGTTTTAACCTATTTTGGAACACAAAAAAGATTTTGCTCTTAAGAATTTCAAAATATAGAATTTGATCATTGATCCTTTTTATATTTATGCGATCCTCATACCTACATTTTCCTCATTCAGTCATACTTTTCTTACATATACTAAAAAACTTTTCCAATAAGCCATAATATCTCTCTTTCAATGAAATTTAACAATAACCTTCACTTTATAGGTTCCGTTCGTACAACCAATGGCGTAAATTAATATTTATCATGATTCTCAAATCAATTTCAATGTTTCTATACAAAAAATTTTTGTATTTTGCATGAAAATTATTAGTTTAATCGCTCAAAAGTTTTTGAAAATAAAACTTTTCTAAAGTGTTATATTTTTAGATTTTTCATAATATGCTCAAATTTGCATTTATTAATGTGCATATATATACTTAACCAGAATTTTTTAAGGACTTATTAAATATCCTGAGCACGCACCTCTAATTTATATTCATGAATTTTTATTTTATATTCTACATCGCTATTGTTTAAAATTTTATTTAAAATTTAAAACTTTTTTTTAACAATTTTAAACTTTTTTTTTTTTGTAAAATTTTGCCTAAAGAAATAAAAAAAAAAATTATTTTGAAAATTAATATTCGTTGTTTATAAGTAAAATTCACGGGAAAAGTGTAAGTACACGTAATAGCACATATGTGTACATACACAAATAAATGTATATGCATGCATATACATATGTATAACTAAAATGTTGTTCTGTTATATTCAAAATTTTCTAGTACATATTAAATATATGAAAAAAAAAGTAAAATAAAAAAAAACATACTTAAAGTTTTTCTTTTATAAGCAATTCAACTTTTTCGGTACTAAAATTTTATTACTAAAGTTTAATTATATTATACACACTCATATACAACTATTATACATATAAGAATGTATAGGAACACATTTTTTGTTTAAATTTTTTCGTAGTGTAGCTTCAAAAATTGTTATTAAGGAACTTGTATTTTCATATATGCCTATAATGCTACATAATATTTATAGCACGTACCATGAATATTTTTGTGTATATATAGGAGAAAAAATCTAAAATTAAAATTATTAAAATTAACCGGGTTATGAGAAATTTGTTTTTGTTTGTAATTTAAATTTTTAGTTCATTTTTTATTTTTAATGTGCAGCATATAGGTAATATTAAAAATGTTGGTTATATAAAAATCAAATACATAAGTCCCTTTATCATTTACATATGATACATGTATATATGTATACGAGAAAGGGTTAAAAGGAACATTGGGTATAGATGTTGAATTCAAACGAAAAGCAAATTAAATAACCCTGTGGGCGACAAAAAAGCCATTATATAATTTTATTAAAAGTAACTATGAAAAATATCCTTGAATAAAAAAAATAATTTTCACACAAGATTTATTTAAGGAATCTCACGCATGGTGATGGCCTTACAATTTCTTATTTAGGTATGCAGTGAAAATTTAATTTTCCTTTTTAGTAAAATTTTAATTGAAAATTTGAAATTTTTTTTTAGAATTTTTAAAAATTTACAAAAATATTATGGTGTGCCAAAAATTTACAACAAAATGAAAAACTTTCTGAAATTTCTTTTTTTTTTTCTTTCACGTTTATTTTAAATTTATTTGTTATCCTTTGGCATGAAATCTTAGCAAAACGAAATGCCTAAGTGGTGTGTGTATTTAAATAATTAAAAATGTTTCCAAAAATTATATTCGTTTTCGAATTTGAATTTTTTAATGAATTCATGCATGAATTATTTCGAAATTATTACAAAGTTGAAGTACTTACATACATACATATTATATAAAATACAAATATGTAATTGTTAAAATTCAATTTTGTATGTAATTATTATTGTACATTTAGTGCTTATAATTAAAATTATATTTTTTGTATAATAAATTATATTTTGTCTTAGAAATAAAATTGGCACTGAAATAAATTTTGAATACTTGTAATGGACACATTGAAATTGGTTTCAAAAAAAAATTTCCAAAAAAATAATTTCTTTGTTTTCATATATACATACAGACACACCTTGAGAGTTTTAGATACAAGTTTTATATTCTAAAATTTGTTAGGAAGCAAATTGCTTAAATTTATACTTTTATTTGCGAAACGTCCAAATACAAATAAATTGTCTGACTTGTAAAGAAATAAGGTCTTATTAAAAATTTTCTTAAAACTTTTACATTTAAAATAATTGTAGAAAAACAAAATTTGCTTTAAAAAATTTCGTACTTGAAAATAAAAATTTGGTAATTTTTTGATTTAAATATTGAGGAAATTATTACAATTTCTAATGCTACCCCTATTTAGTAAACAATAGTATTAGTAAAATTAGTATGTAAGTACACATACGTGTATAATATAGGAAATAAATTTAAGTACCAAATCAAATCA